AAAAAAATGATTTCCATTCCTCCCTCTTCAATGGGTCCCTGTGCCCTTAGGAAGCATTTCCGGACCCATGTTCATATGAACTTCTTTACTTAGTTTTGATCATAGAATCGGCCTGTTCAGGGTTGGTAGCTAATTATGAGACACCCTGTATAGACTTTTTTCCTGATATTTTTCCGAAGACAATGCCGAAAACCGCAACTCGATCGGTTCATCAGAAAAAAATTGCTGATTTATTGTCTAACTTGCCTGGTCTATAAGTAATTCATGTTGGGTCAAATGACCCCTTGAAAATTTCCGATGGGCTTGTAGTCTATTATGACCTTGTATAACAGTCGGTAATTAAATTGTAACAACTTATACATTATCTTCAGGTTTTAGAAGAAATTAGTGTAAATCTTTACGATTCTATATGAACTTTGCATTATTAGTATATTGTCACATGATGCTGTTTTTATAATACCCTCGATAAAGGTAGTGTAAAAGACTTAAGATAACATTGACAATGTTATAATCTTGGGTAAATGTAAATTTAACTTCCTTACATAAATTACACATTAAAATTTCTTATTTACTATTAATTAAGAAAGAAACTTGTTTTTAATGTAAAACAGACGTCTCAGAGTGTTATAATGTTTTCTGATTAGGATGTCAAAGATATCAGTAAATTATCAATGTATTTATATTAAACAATTTGTGTGTATAAACCCATAATTTTTTATAAGCTATAGATTTTGCCGAGACACAATCCATAACTGAACAAACTGGATATTGATAAAAGTAGAACCACTTTTCATAATAACTGAGATTTTGTTATAAGTTGTATCTTTGGGAAGAAAAATGTTTAAAATTCAAATATAGGTATCTCCTTAATTAGCCTTATGTAGAATATATTTGGCACTTCATTCCTAAAATTCCCAATTTATTGTAAATAAAATCAAAAGAATAATTTGTATCGACAACTATTCATAAAAAAACTGGCAATAAAATCTAGCCTTGAACCTCTAAAAACACTATCTTAAGATAGGCGTTACAGCGACGTATCAAAGACAGCCTAACGTCTCTCAAATGATGTGGAGTTATTCTGAGAGCAGCGATCCGGATTCGTCGTACAAGTTCCTCTTGCGAGTTAACAGGCGTAGAATAAACAGCATCCTTAATAAATCCCCAAACAAAAAAATCCAAAGGTGTTAGATCAGGCGATCGCGGGGGCCACCCAACTGGACCTCCACGATCCACCCATCTCTGTGGATACTCTGTATTCAGCCAGTTTCGTACCACCAAAGAGTACTGGGAAGGGCATCTAATTGAAAAAACGAGTCTATTCTTCGTTGAAAAACAACATCGTCTAGCATGTTATCATGCGAGTTATTTTTGTGGATAT